GGCTGGAGGCACAGGTTGAAGGGACAGGTTGGAGGTACAGGTTGGAGGCACAGGTTGAGGACAGGCAGGGCACAGGTTGAAGGTGGCAGGTAGGGAGGCCAGGTGCAGAGGGACAGGTTGGAGGCACAGGCTGAGGGACAGGCTGGAGGTACAGGTTGGGAGGCACAGGTTGAAGGACAGGTAGAGGGACAGGTAGGGAGGCCAGGTTGAAGGTACAGGAGGCACAGGTAGGGAGGCACAGGTTGAGGCACAGGTTGAAGGTACAGGTGGGAGGGACAGGTTGGAGGCAGGGCGGAGGTCAGGTAGGGAGGCAGGAGGAGGTACAGGTTGGAGGCACAGGTTGGAGGTAGCAGGTAGGGAGGGACAGGTTGGAGGCACAGGCTGGAGGCACAGGCTGAGGCACATGCAGGTACAGGTAGGAGGTACAGGTTGAAGGTACAGGCTGAGGTACAGGTTGGAGGTACAGGCTGAGGGTACAGGTAGAGGCACAGGCTGGAGGCACAGGTGGGGAGGGACAGGTTGGAGGGACAGGTTGGAGGCAAGAAGCTGGAGGCACAGGTTGGAGGCAACAGGTTGAAGGCACAGGAGGGACAGGTTGGAGGTACAGGTTGGAGGCACGGTAGGAGGTACAGGTTGGAGGTACAGGTTGAAGGTACAGGTAGGAGGGACAGGTTGAGGTACAGGTTGGAGGTACAGGTTGAAGGCAGGTCAGGAGGTACAGGTTGAGGCAGTACAGGTTGGAGGTACAGGTTGGAGGGGTACAGGTGGTAGGAGGGCGGTTGGAGGTACATGTTGGAGGTACAGGTTGGAGGTACAGGTTGAAGGTACAGGTTGGAGGTACAGGTAGGGAAGGGGACGTGGGCCATCACGTTATGAGATGAGAGTTCTTGACTGACTGAGAGCAGCTGGCTTAGTTAGTTGACTTAGAGGCGTGAGAATGCAGTCGATAGCTTTCATTATCAAGATGCAAAACCACACACACACACACACACACACGCACACGCACGCACGCACGCTAGAATCTTACCCGCAACCCGAGGAATGAAGACAGGAGAACGCATTTCATTCTCTTAAACAAATTTACGACCAGAGTGACACAGTGAGCCACAGAACAACCAGCTACGTGTGGTTATGGGTTGAGGGCGACGAAAATGGTGGTGATGGTGATAGTGGTAGTGAACGTGGTGGTGGTGATGATGGTGGCGATGATGGTGGTGGTGATGGTGGTAGTGATGGTGGTAGTGAAGATGGTGGTGGTGGTGGTGATGATGAAGATAATGGTAGTGAAGGTGCTGGTGGTGGTGGTGATGATGATGATGGTGGTAGTGAACGTGATGATGATGGCTGCGAAGGCGATGGATGGTGGTAGTGGTGATGATGGTGGTAGTGGTGATGATGGTGGTAGTGGTGATGATGGTGGTAGTGGTGGTGATGATGATGGTGGTGGTGGTGATGATGGTGGTAGTGGTGATGGTTGTAGTGAAGGTGGTGGTGGTGGTGGTGATGGTGGTAGTGTTGGTGGTGGTGATGATGATTATAGTGGTAGTGAACGTGATGATGATGGTTATGGTGGCGATGATGGTGATGGTGGTGGCGATGGTGGTAGTGATGGTGGTAGTGAAGGTGGAGATGGTGGTGATGATGGTGATGGTGGTAGTGAAGGTGGTGGTGATGGTGATGATGGTGGTAGTGAAGGTGGAGGTAGTGAAGGTGGAGATGGTGGTGGTGGTGATGATGGTGGTGGCGGTATGATGGTGGTGGTGGTGATGATGGTGGTGGCGGTATGATGGTGTTGATGATGATGGTGGTGGCGGTATGATGGTGGTGATGGAGTTAAAATGAATCGCCTGAAGATTCACTCCCCCAGTTTATTTCAACTGCAGCTTAAACCGCCGTAATCCTACCTGGAGGGGTTAGGTTAGGTTAGGTTATGTAGGAATTTGTTAGTTTTAGGTTAGGTTAAGTTCGTGTTAGATTAGGTTAGGTTAGATTAGATTAGTGTTAGGTTATGGTTAGGTTAGATTAGTGTTAGGTTATGGTTAGATTAGGTTATGGTTAGGTGCTGCTGCTGGCAATTGACGCTGTGAGAGAGAGAGAGAGAGAGAGAGAGAGAGAGAGAGAGAGAGAGAGAGAGAGAGAGAGAGAACAACTGTTGTCAGTTTAGACTATTAGAAAGCGTGAGTTAAATGGCAGCGTTTAATAGTAAAGTGTGTCCCAATTTGTGACTGCGCCTGGAGCACTGTGCTTGTTGTGTGAGGGAGAGAGAGATAGTGAGATAGAGATAGTGAGAGAGAGATAGAGAGCGATAGCAAGAGAGAGATATCGAGAGGGAGGTGATGGGTAGGGGTGGGGGAATGGGTAGGGGGAGGTGGGGATGGGTAGGGGTGTGGGAGGGGGTGATGGTAGGGGTGGGGAGGTGGGATGGGTAGGGGTGGGGGGAGGTGATGGGTGAGGTGGGGGGAGGTGATGGGTAGGGGTGGGGGGTGATGGGTAGGTGGGTGATGGGTAGGGGGTGGGGAGGTGATGGGTAGGGGTGAGGGAGGGATGGCTAGGGGGTGAGGGAGGTGATGGGTAGGGGGAGGGAGGTGATGGGTAGGGGTGGGGAGGTGAGGGGTAGGGGTGAGGGAGGTGAGATGGGTAGGGGTGGGGGGGAGGTGGATGGGTAGGGGTGAGGAGGTGATGGGTAGGGGGTGGGGAGGTGATGGGTAGGGGTGAGGGAGGTGATGGGGTGGAAGAGAGGGAGGGATGGGAAGGTGATGGGTAGGAAGGAGGAGGGAGGAGGAGGAGGAGGGAGGGAGGGAGGAGGAGAGGGTATATTTGGGTCACTTTAACAGATTTTGGGAGCGATTTGTCCAGAAGGTTTTAAAATCCCGCCATTATTGGACTTGACTGATGAATGTTGTTTTTTCATTCGTTCGTTGCGATGATGATGATGATGACAGCAGCAAAAAATGATGATAATAACAATAACATCAACCCTCTTCCAAATTCCTTTCCATCCACCCTCCCTCCTCCAACCCCCCTCCATCCCCTCCAACCTCCCCCTTCCACCTCCATCACCTGTTCTCCTTCTTCAACCTCCTCCTCTTCCAACCCCTCCAACCCTCCAACCCTCCAACCTCCCCCTTCAACCCTCACTAACCCTCCCTCTACCTCATTTCCCAGTGTCATGTCCCCAATACCAGGACCGATTAAATGGGTCCCTATTAAAAACTGTGAGGGCTGCGGGTAAAGAGACTCAAGTCACCATTTGTATACTCGGTCAGCACCAGTGTGTGTAGTCAGCTGTGGCGGCCCAGTTGGTTTCCGGTCATTATATCCTGAACCAGTGAACCAAAAGCTACTATTTCTGTGTTGTTAGGAAATGAGAGAGAGAGAGAGAGAGAGAGAGAGAGAGAGAGAACAGCTGTGGGTTATGGCACTTTTTTTTTGTTTTTTAGGTAGGATTTGAAGGTCATGGGATGGAGGGTCAGTCCTTTAATTATGTTTTAATCTGGACCGGGTGGTTGGGGTGTAGAGTGGGGGGAGGGTAGGTATAGGGGGAAGGTGGGGGGGGGAGGTATAGGGAAAGGTGGGGGGTGTAGGGTGGGGAGGGAGGAAACGTAGGAGAGAAACCCCGATGATCAGTACATACACTCACACGCCCCTCAAAGCCAGACTGCAAAGGGGGGGGGGGTTCTTGATTTCTGTCTTGGAGCTCTGACTACCTGTCCTGAGGATAAACTATCGTTCAAAGTTAAACCATCGTCCTCAAAGGGTTACAAACCACCAAAGGGTTAAACCATCGTCCCTCAAGGCGTTAAAGGGGTTAAACCATCGTCCCCAAAGGCTAAGCGGTAAACCGTCGTCCCTCAAGGGTTAAACCATCGTCTCAAGGGGTTAAACCTGTCCTGGGGTTAAACCATCGTCCTCGGGGCGGGTTAAACCATCGTCAAAAAGTTAAACCATCGTCCTCAAGCGTTAAACCAGCGGTTAAACCGTCGTCCTCAAGCGGTTAAACCATCGTCCTCAAGGGGCAAACCTTCGTCCTCAAGGGTTAAACCATCGTCCCCAAAGGGTTAAACCATCGTCCTCAAAGTTCAAGCGGCAAACCATCGTCCTCAAAGGGTTAAACCATCGTCCTCAAAGGGTTAAACCATCGTCCTCAAAGAGTTAAACCATCGTCCTGCAAAGGTTAAAACCAGGTTAAAACCATCGTCCTGGGGCGGTTAAACCATCGTCCCTGGTGGGCAAAACCATCGTCCTCAAGAGTTAAACCTTCGTCCTCAAAGGGTTAAACCATCGTCCTCAAAGGGTCCTTAAACCATCGTCCTCAAAGAGTTAAACCGTCGTCCTCAAAGGGTTAAACCATCGTCCTCAAAGGGTTAAACCTTCGTCCTCAAAGATTTAAACCACCGTCGTCCAAAGGTTGAGATAGACGGTAAACTGTTAGTGGCGTTTTAATTATTCTTGGTGAATGAGTTTTAATCAATGCAGTAGTGCACAAATTCGTTGACGACTTTTGATAGTGAGTTAGTTTATTGATGACATTGTAAGGCATCAACAACAACACCTTAAAGTGATGACAACAGACCTGTTGCTCCTGATACTACTGACTCTAGCTGCGATTTTATTATTATTATTATTATCATTATTATTATTATTATTATTATTATTATTATTATTATTATTATTATTATTATTATTATTATTTATTACTACTTTTTATGGGAGGGATAGATGGTACAAGGACATTATCTACTGTAAGAATAACATAATTTTTTTAATTCTCCATCATTGGTATCATGAGTGAGGAAGGTCAGTGGTAAGACCTGGCTCTATTGGTCTTATTTTATTTAGTGTTGCTCCGGGTGAGCTTCTGTACTGAAGGGTGCAGGACCAACTGCCAGGTATAACAGAGTTGTGAACTAGTAGAGGTGGTGAGTTATTTGTGATGATTTTATTGGTGTGTTGTGTTTGTGATAATGTATTATTGTTAACTATGGTGTTTGTGTTGACAGGTGTGATGGTGGGAGAGGATGGCTGAGGGCCACGCCGAGGATGCACCGCTGCTGGGGGGCGGCGAATCCCTGTCTCCTGGCGACTGTTCCCCAGACCGTCAGCCTGGCGTGGTCAGCTCCCCCACCGTGTGGCCAGCGCCCGCCCCCGTCCACAATGCCACCTCTGAGGTGCCGCAGCCCTGGCCTCCCGACGCACAGGTGCCGCATCCGTGGCCGCCAGACTCGTGGGTGCGGAGACCGCACCTGGACACCCTACACGTGCCCGACCAGGGCGATACCCCAAAGTTGGTGCGGTCACAATCGAGTATGGACAGTGGATGTGAGTGTGACGGTGCGGACGGTGAAGGTGCGGCCACGCATGACGCCCCGCCGCACCATCAGCACCACGAGGCCGCAGGCGACGCCCATGACCCCGCAGGCTTCTCGCCTTTGTCACCGTCGCAACCGGGGGGGTCTGGGCCGCCCACGCCCGGGCCCAGCACCCAAGTGGTGGTACTGGTGACATCTAGCGCCCACAACACCTACACCCACGTGCCGGAGACGGAGGTGGGCCGCGGTGGGTGTGGCAACAACCAAAGCTGTGTCTGTGATATCGGCGTGGGCGTGGCAGAAGCCGCCCGCCTTGACCGAGGTCTCCACGCCGACCCCCATACCAAAGTTACCTTCATGATAGAAGACGACGACGATGACGAGTTTGACCACGACGGGTAAGTTGACCACCTCCGTCACCTCCTGTTCTCTAACACTTAACACTGCGGTATGTACAGCACCCGAGGCAAGACAAAAGAGTAAGTGGTGATGCAGTCAGTAAATAAACGCAGTAATAATGGTAGACCTGTCACAGATGCTAACAATGTTTTATGACAGCCTGGTTGTTGTTGCGGCGGTGAGTTACGTCTTTGTTTAACTTGGCCGTGTTGGGAGGGTCAACAGTAAGTAACCTGCCTGTGGGAATGTACCTCACCTGGACACCCCCCCTCCAATATCCCAGTATCCCAAGAGCGAGAGAGAGACGTAAATATACATACTCGTAGGCTGGTATCCCCAACAAATAACTGTGGAACATTACTCAGATTTCTCAAATAAATCTGCCACCGATAGTTTTTTTTTCACAGTCATGCCATCGTTTGAGTCGTAATACATAAGATGGTGAGAGTTACTGAAGCCAGTGCGTGTGTTGGTATGCCGGGTAGAGTAGAGTGTGGCCCCTGGGAGGATGTGTGTGTTCGTGAGGTATTCTGGTTCCTTCTCACGTAACCTGTGTTTTGTGATGGATTGAAGTTACGAGGAGAGAGAGAGAGAGAGAGAGAGCAGTGTTATGAATCAGAATAACCCAAGTACTTTCTTTAATCTTGTGGGGGGGGGCTTTTCTTGTTGGCGTCAAGTATTTTGCCACAAATTGATTTTTTGACTGGCGGGACAGTGTGAATGTTTGTACTTGCCTATTACCCTCTGTACATCCCTATTAACCTTTGTACTTCCCATATTAAAGTTCTAACCTTAATATGAACTAATGGTGATGAAGTGGTGAGGAGAGAGAGAAAGAGAGACGAGGAGGGGAAGAAGAAGAAGGGAAAGGAAGAGGAGGAGGAGGAAGAAGGTGAAAAAAGGAGGGGAACAGGAAAACAAGAAAGAAGACGAGAAGAAGAGAAGGAAGAGGGGAAACAGATGAGAAGCAGGTGGAAGAAGAGAAAGGGGGAGGAGAAAGAGGAGGAGAAGGGGGAGGCGTCGAAGTATGTCAGGTAGATTTGTAAACACTAGCGCTACATTCCTAAAGTCCTGCCCACCCACCTTGTCTGCTGAGCCTAACCCCCTTCTGCTACCCCCCTCCCCCCTGGCCCTGGTGTGTGTGTGTGTAGGGGAGGGGGGGGAGAGATTCACACACACACACACACAGGGCTTCCTCACCACCACCCCTTCACTCAGTCCTTACCAATCTCACTCGGTTCTTCCTCCTCCTTTCTCTCCCTCCTCCTCTTCCTCCTACCTTCTCTCCTCTAATCCTCCTTCTCCTCCCTCTTCTCCTCCTCCTCTTCCCTTATCTAGCATCATCAGTAGAGTATTGGTCGCCTCTCACAAACGAACAATTTGCTAAACTGAAAATGTTAAAATTCGAGAATATTAACACCTACAGCTGTGCCCTATTTGTTTACAAATCTGTAAATCACTTGATTGACAATAATTATTTCCAGTTCCTGAATAATCTGTACCCAGAGCTTCTAAGACCACCCCCATGCGCTCCTCTCAGTCCCAGACCTCCATAAAATATCACAGTGTGAAGGTGTGGAACAACTTACCCCCACCCATCCGAGCAATGCCTACGCTCCCTTCCTTTAAATCGTATCTTAAAAAAATATCTATCGTCGTAGTATTAATATTTTTGTGTAATACCTACTTTATATTCCTGCTTTTATTGTACCACCAAAACCGTTTTACCAGAAATTATCATGTAGAATGCAGATGGATAGAAATTACCATTGCTATAAATATATTTGCCAACTAGACATGATACTGACAGCTCTGTCCTCTTGTTCCACCTTAATACAACCCATGCTGTACTGCTTCCTTATCATATTTATGTTTTTCAATTCCACTGTAAATTAAGTATATACTTATAATATAAATGTAAAAAAGAATAATAAAAAATAAATAAAAAATAAATAAATATCGAAGTGATAACTGTGGTAACATTCTGATATGGTTTTATTACCACCATGCTATGTGTACTATTCCAGATGATACTACTGTAAATGTTACATTATACTTCCTTGAGATAAATGTACTGTATATATCAGGTGCCTTCAAGAGAGCTCAGGCCCTCAACTGGCTCAGCCATGTTAATATTATGTTATTTAATCGACTCTGTATCTGTGTTCTTGTGGCTAAATAAACTGTTTCAATATCAAAATATCAATATCACAGTGACCAGTGGCGTGAATATACCAGACTCGAACGTTCCTCTCATCCCGTCATAACACAACACTAATTGCTCTTCCAGGTTTTAAGCAAATATATTTCTAGAAAGTGATAGTTAAGTGTATTTTTTAAAAATAATTATTATGTCTTTTGGTGTTTAATAGGAGTTGGTGTTGATTTTTTCCATGGCAGGAAATCACATCCGTCGTATGAGACTTTTAAAGCGCTTCTATATACAGGAAACAGAATCACGTATTATTGGAACTACTTCTTTGCTTCTTGTGATTAATGTTTTTTCTTCCTTTCATTTTCTTTTATTTTCCTTCCCCTACTCATCCCTCCCTTCCCCTCCCCTTCCTTTCCTCTTCCATCCTCTTTCCTCCCCCCCACCCTCACACTACAACACAGCGGGAATTATCAATATTAGCGTATGTTCTTTTATACACACGAAATGCAAGTGGTAAAATTCTTTCAATTCGTCAACAACAAAGTTTACAGTGGCGAGACCCGGCGAGTTGTTTATAATTGAAATAGTTTAGGTACAAAGAGACAAGCTTGAACCTTCTGGTGTGTGGGTGTGTGGTGTGGGTTAAGTGGTGTGTGGGTGTTGGATGGTGTAGTGGGTGGTGTGTGGGTGTTGGATGGTGTAGTGGGTGGTGTGTGGGTGTTGGATGATGTGTTGTAGTGGATGGTGTGAAGTGTGTATTGTGTGGTTTGTGCAGTGAGGGGTGTGGTGTGTCGTTTGTGTGGTGGGCAGTGTGTGGTGGTGGTGGTAGTGGATGGTGTGGTGTAGTGTGTGGTGGTGGTAGTAGTGTGGTGCAGTGTGTGGTTGTGGTAGTAGTGGATGGTGTGGTGCAGTGTGTGGTGGTGGTAGTAGTGGATGGTGTGGTGCAGTGTGTGGTGGTGGTAGTAGTGGATGGTGTGGTGCAGTGTTTGGTGGTGGTGGTAGTGGATGGTGTGGTGTGGTGGGTGGTGGTGGTGGTAGTGGTGTGGTGCAGTGTGTGGTGGTGGTGGTAGTAGTGGATGGTGTGGTGCAGTGGGTGGTGGTGGTGGTGGTAGTGGTATGGTGCGGTGTGTGTGGTGGTGGTGGTAGTAGTGTGGTGCAGTGTGTGGTGGTGGTAGTAGTGGATGGTGTGGTGCAGTGTTTGGTGGTGGTAGTAGTGGATGGTGTGGTGCAGTGTGTGGTGGTGGTGGTAGTAGTGGATGGTGTGGTGTGGTGTAGTGGGTGGTGGTACATAGTGTAAAGCAACAGTAAATTTAACCACAAACACCCACTCACCCAGAGATCTACGTGACCTCCACTGTAAACATTAATCTGTATGTTCACTGTATGTTCCTTCACATTTCTCTAATGAAGGCTTTTGTTCAACCACCAATGTATGTAATAAGTCATTTATGTCCAATGTATATTTTCAGCCTTCGGGCTGCAGAACTTTTTCAATAAACCGTTAATTATTATTATTATTATTATTACACACACGCAATTACAGAGGACCTCAAGGACGAGCACCGACACACACACACACCGACGTACACACACACCGACGTACACACACACACACACACCGACGTACACACACACACACACCGCGGCAGAAGCTAAAAATAATATCCTAGTTCTGTCCAGTGGTCACCTCATACACCCCCCCACCCCCAGCCCCCGCTTCCTCCTACAAAAACCTTAAATTAAAGAGGATATCTAAGACCAGAATCCCTTTAAACTAATGGACCGACTAACAGTAAGGGGCTGTGGCGTATAGTGACGACATCTATTGCGTCTGTGTGGACCAGCAGCGTGAAGGTCGTCTCTGTGTTTGCAAGACGTCGTGACCAGGATCTGTTTGGGTTCTCACGAGAGAGAGAGAGAGAGAGAGAGAGAGAGAGAGAGAGAGAGAGAGAGAGAGAGAGATTTTGTAGGAGGTGGCCGTGGTCTTGAGAACTGGTGGAGTTGATGCCGGAGCTCTGTCGTTGGTGGTGAGGGGTGGGGTGGTGTGGGAAGGTGATTGTGGATAATAATGGGAGGTGTGGAGGCAGGGAGGGGGGTGGTAGGATCATCACACACACACACACACACACACTCTGATACACGTCATCCTTGACCACCGAAGGGTCAAGACGTATCTGGCGCTGCTCTGGTGGCTGCCAGGTCAATTGTTAAGTTGGCACAAACCCCAACTCCCTCCCCTGAACCCTCTTCCCCATCGGAATATCACAAAGTTCTCGCCAGAAATTGCAATTTGAATCCGGAAAGGAGTGGAACAAGTGGTGAACAGCGCTTAAACCAGTGAAAACACTGCAACAGTAGCAGCTGAGAGTCGACCTTTACACAGTGATGTCCCAGGTACCCTGTGATAACTGCCCCTGAGACCCAACAACAAGCGGTGATGTGTTAATCCGTCCACGATAGGGAGGCCTGGGACCACACCTGACTGTACACCACCTGTGAGGGAGTCACTGCACCACGTGAGGTCCTTCATCACCACCTGTGAGGGAGTCACTACACCACGTGAGGTCCTTCATCACCACCTGTGAGGGAGTCACTACACCACGTAAGGTCCTTCATCACCACCTGTGAGGGAGTCACCACACCACGTGAGGTCCTTCATCACCACCTGTGAGGGAGTCACTACACCACGTGGGGTCCTTCATCACCACCTGTGAGGGAGTCACTACACTATGTATTTGCTGTTCAACACCTCACCGCACATGACCTCCACTGTATGTTCCTTTCTCTAATGAAGGCTTTTGTTCCCCCCTCTCCCCATGTAAGAAGTCTTTTATGTCCAATGTA